GGGCGGTTGTTTGCTGCAAAACGCACTCGTCTCTGATTTTTCGGTAAAGTTGGGTATTTCTCATGCCTATCTATAGGGAATTTCGCGTCCAAGCAGAATTAAGACCGCACTTGAAATCGGAATATCCCAGCGAAGTTTCACCCCTGCATCTTATCCGGTAAACGAAATATCCACCTCGCTACAAATATCTTTGAAGTGCCCTCAGCCGTGGCGCAAGTGCAAATTGGTACTTATTTTACGTATTCGATTCCCTATGCGGGCGGCAAACACTCTGACAAAATTACAACCACTGTTTTCCGGCAAGTTCTCGAGCTGACATAGTACAGAGTTGCAGTCTTTGACGTGATCTTACGCGTTGCACAAGGTTGCGCGACAGCTGGATTTAAAATTTTTAGTTCTAACATTCCCAGAGAATATCCTCGCAAAGTTTCAGCTTTGTATCTTGCCTGGTTCGCGAAATCGTTTCTCACCAAAAAAATTTGCATATTTTTTGGGGGTCCGTGCGCGGTCTAGGCACATGTGGGATAAGGTTTTAAAACGGTAGAGTGACAAAAGGGGTAGGAAAATATACCCAAAATTTCAGCCTCCAAGCTTTCCTGGTTACTGAGATGAAAGTGGGTGACAAAGTTCACTCACTTCGATACACTCACTCTCACCCACACACATACGCACACACCTACCCACACACACACACACCCACCCACACACACACCCCCCCACACACACACACACACAAACACACAGACGACTTCTCGACAATATGTGTTTTTGCTGGCTGTAGCAGCGCTATAGTGCTGCACAGCAAAAACATGAAACTCAAATAGACTGGAACGCACCAGGGAGGCCGGTGCGATTATGCGTTTTTGCACTTTTCGTGCCGTAGCAAGATCGCAAGGAATCACAGCAGCTAACCCTGTGACATATCGGCCCTCGAAGTTCGGGAAGTTAATTGTGTAGTTATGTGGTATGTCAGTTGTAAATGTCGACTTCAGTGACCCGACAAACGGAAAGTTGCTGGTCCGCGAAAAAGGCCGCACTAGAAGAGCTGAATTTGAAATCTTTTAGTCGCACATGAGTAAGGAGCATCCTTAAAATTAAAGCCTTA